TCCTTCCCTCCTTCCCTGTCTTTCTATCTTGTCATGCAATGTCATAGCTTTGCTATGCTACAGAAATTGCTCAGAGGTAAAACTGAACTCTACAAAAATAAATTTTCTTTGCTTCATATATCTGAAATGATTTCATACATTTGAATTGTAAGCAAGAAAAAACAGATTTTTGAACAAGAAGGCTTTTCGCTAAGCCAGTATAATTCATTTTCAACAAATCACTTTTGGGGTGGTTTTTTTCACTTCCAGGTGAAGCAGAAAGCAATGTAAGCACCACGTACATGTCTGGGTTTATAAATTCCTTCAGAACAGTAATCCCTTGCACTCTGTGGTGACCATACCAGATGTGACTGAAGTTTTTGTTGCATAATCTGCCTTTTAATAGTGTGAGAAAAGGGAAACTACTCATAAGAATTGCTGGTAAAGCCCAGAATATGTTTCATGTGTCGTGAGTGCTGCTTTTCTTAGATGATATTTTGGACATAGCTTTAAAATCTTGTTGAGGAGTTCCCTAAATGGGACATATATGTTAATTTATGCATAAGTGCAAAAATAATGAAATGCATGAAGGCAAGTATTCTATCCTCCCCACCTATCCAGGCAAGTTTCCACAAAGTGATAGAACGTAAAATTCTCAATACATTGAAAAACTGGGATTGCCCCGATTATCTGTTGTTCAGAGTGGAGTGGGGCCTTACAGGCACAGGTCTAGTCCAGGATCCTTCACAAAAAGGTTTGTTTAATGGCTATGACCATAAGCTTGAATTTCACTAAAGTGTTTGAAAGAGCTATGTATAAAAGCTTTTTAATCATCAACCTTTAATGACCCAGTAAATACATAACTTTATTTTTCCACTTACATACTTTGCCAGCAGTGATGCTGATAGATAGCCACTAAGTTTAGATAGTGTGACTCTAGGTGTTCTCTGGTAATTGTGTCATATTAATTCCCAAATTTTGGGGTAGAGAACTTTGATATTTTAAAATAAACTGGATAAATGTGGCCTCAGGAATTTATTTAGTCACTATTGCAACATTTGCTAATGGTGGAAATTATGTAGAAAAACCTCTTTGAATTTAGAAGCATGGCTATAATAGGAATTTAAAATGAAATTGCCATATTATGCAAAATAACCCTTTATGTTCATAAAGTCAGTAATTCCAAATAGAGTCTAAGGCTTTGTGTTTTGCTGAAGTAAAATCTAGATTATGAGTCTTTTCTCTCTCACTGCATTATTATCTTATGTCATTTCAGCATGCATACACAAGTACAGCCATAAATGGGACAAATTTTTGTACATCAGCAAAGGATGCTGTCTGTATCTTGGCAAGGAATTCTGCTAAACTTGCATCCATTAGCTTTTTTGGAGATTTTCTCCTATTTTTAGGAAAGGTAAGAGTAAATTAAGATAACTGTTCTGTAAAAATGATGTGTAAAATCAGGTTTGATTATCTTTTCATATACCTAAAGTAAATAAAGTTTATCTTCTTTAAATTCAGTGTTGTCAATGCTGTAAAATAAGCTTGGGAGAGAAGAATATTTGAGGAATTTAACTTTACAGCGTTATTTAATTGTATGATAGCAGTGTCCTTGGAACCACTCTGGCAGTTCCAATTGCATCAAGTCTTTGGTAAATACATGGCAAAACGTTTCCTCGGCCCTATGGTATTTACACACGGAGTTGAACACAAAGTGTCACAACTGTGTGATCTGGAATCTGCTTAGCTATCTCCCAGATGAGATGTGCTCTTAAAATACTGTAGTGTATTTGCCTCAGGGTTTGGGGAGATTGGTTTTTTTATGAGAAACATTTCTACATGATTAATGAGGCTGCACTTCTCTCTCGCTGCCCTTTACAGGTGTTTGTTGTATGCTTTACAGTTTTTGGAGGATTGATGGCATTTAACTACCACCGGGACTTGCATGCTTGGGTAGTTCCTCTGTTGCTCGTTGGATTTTTGGCCTACCTGATGTCCCACAGCTTTCTGTCTGTGTTTGAAGTGACAGCAGATGCCTTGTTCCTTTGCTTTGCTATTGATATGGAAACTAATGATGGAACTGCAGAGAAGCCATACTTTGTGGATCAGGAGCTGCTGGTAAACCCCACTGATTACAACAAAGATATTTGAGACATTCTAAGCTTTTAGGGACTTTTTCTTTCCCCAAGACCTCGTAATCTGAACCCACAACCCATGCCATTTCCTTTCCAACACCTTAGAACAGGATGGCCTCAGGGATACAAATACATTAATTTATAAACTGAAGTAAATGGCTCCCTCTGACTCCTGTATGCTAGCTATGACCTGCTGTCTCCTTTTAGATCATATTCTGTAAGTAATGGCTAACTATTCAGGCCTAATTAGATATATCTTCAATATATTATTGGTAATTAAAAGATTTAAATAAATAGATGAGCTAGCTACAGAAATTGATCCATTGCGTGCCCTAAGATTAATGCTTGTATTTCTTGTGACTCACTGTACACTGATGAGAAAAAATTACCAAGTAGCAGGTCAAGGTCATTCCACATCCTACAGATGCTGTAGTTCTGAACAAATTTCATGCAAATCTGAGCTGTTCTGCTTCATACCTTTACAGATTCTTTTCCCAAAACACTGTCTTCTATCTCTTGATTAAATTCTTCTGCCTCTGGACAGATTGTTCTGTATCTTTTGCCTTGTAATTACTATATTGTATTACCTTAAGTACTTAGCTAATTGTGATGTGGTGCTGTAACTGAAGCCTTTGAATATATATGTCATCTAATTAAGAGAATATCTGAAGATGCAGACATTTTTTTCCTTTTGTGCTATTTTTGACTCTTCTGTCTTTTCCTTCACAAACTACACAACAGAGAAAATCTTAGTGATCCATGAAAACCAATAACCAGCAGCCAGAGTAACCCATATGACACAAATGTTCTGGATGAATTTCTTCAGGACAATGCCAGAACCGTTTTGGAGTTTTGGTTTTTATTTATTTTTTAATGCTGCTGTTGGAGTTTCTGTAATATTCGTAGAATTTTGTTCACAACAAAAGCACAACAAAAGGCAGCCTAAAGATAGCTCTAACCTCTTTGTAGAGCAGATATATATTCTTTGGCTTTGGTTCAGAATAGTACTTAAGCATATCACCTGGCTAGGAATATGAAACTGAATGGAAAACTCTGAAGCCTTGACCTCTTTCCTTCCTTCTCTGCTTTGTCACATTGTAAAATATTTCTTAAGCCAATTTTCCTTCATGAAACAGAGGCTCTCCTTTCTCCACTTCTAAACTTTGTAGTAGTTTCTCTTTAACTCTGGTCTTAATTCTGTGTAATTAGCCATGCCCTAGAGCTGTGGGTGAAGAGAGGATTTCCCACAGGGACAAGGAGTCTTCCAAGCAGGACAGGCTCTGTACCCTTCTATGGAAAAACTGTGGGCAGCACATCCAAGCTCCTCCTCATTGTATGATCAAGAGTAAGTTTGCTAACACAGACAAGAATTTGGAGTTTCCCAACACATGAAGGCATTTGACTTGTCTGTGTTACAATCAGGTTACAAACATCCCGGGGGCGGAACAGAAGCTTTGTGGCCCTCAGGACAATATGCAGCAGTGGGCAGAGAGCCGGGGGAGGGATTTCATACAGCTGGAATCCTCATTCCTGCAGTAGGAGATGTAACAGAGATTTTTGATTCATCCTTCTCAGTTGCATTCATCACTTTTGCTGCCTCTGCAGTCCCTCCCAGTATCACTCAGTGTCATCCAGCCAGGAACCAGCTACAGTTTCTTAGCCCTGGGCTAATTATCTTCCTTTACCAGGTATTTTTATTAGCATAATGGTTTCCTTTCACAAACGATCTCACCTTGGATTTTGCTTGTAGACCTTTGTGAGTCAGAGTAACAAGTTAACAGAAGGGCGAAAACACAGAAGCACAAGACCATTCCAGGATAATGAAGATGGGACAGAGCTCCAGCCTATGGTGAGACAGGAGCATGGGATATGTATTTACCTGCCAGCTAATGTGTTTGCCTTTATGTTCCAAGAAGAAAGGATGGAGGTTATCACGTATCTCCTGATGTCTCACAGCAACCAACATGCTGTATCCAGTGTTCTGTTTTTAATTCTATTGCTTTCCCTCCTCAGGAAACCCTCTGCTAGTGCAAAATGGATGGACCAAATAATTATTCTCTTTTTTTCTTCACATTCCCTTTTGTGCCCAGTAGAAGAAGAGAAAGTTTGGACAGAGCCAAGGGGGTGGGGGATAAATCATATTCAGAGTCTTTCACGTGCCTGCTGTATCAAGGTCGGAAGAGTGGTAGGCTGCCAGAACTGCTGAACTTCCAGACCTCTAAGACTAGAGCTTAGAGGCCTTTCCTCCCCCTCTCATCCTCTTGGTGAAGAAAAAAAATTCTCCTTTTCTTTGCTCTTTTCTTTCCTTTTCTCTTTTTTCTTTTCTTTTCTTTTTTCTTTTCTTTTCTTTTCTTTTAGTTTTTTCTTTTCTTTTCTTTTCTTTTCTTTTCTTTTCTTTTCTTTTCTTTTC